TTAAACATGCGTGCGCTGGCGCTGACTTGTGCCTGTATAACATCTAGCTTACTCATCGACCATGCGCGCGAATAAAATACGCAACCGCAACGCGACCGAGGTAGCAGTAATTAAATTGCTTGCTCCTCCAGGTAGCTGGGCCGCGTCTCCTTATGCGTCCGTCCTCTCATCTGCCTCCGACTTCGAGAAGAGCTTTCGCTCCGCCTTTGGCCTCGTTACGGTGGGCACGGCTCGCTCGTTCTGCTTCCCCTACATCGTGCAGCTACTGCTGGATGAATACGACTACCGCAATCAGCTTCTCGTCTGCGGGCGCCTCCGTTCAAGTAATGGCGCTGGATTGGTTTTCAGCCCGCTGCGACCCAGCAGCTCAGCGGGGAGTGGCGACGCTGGCGAATGGCACACACGCCGCAGCGACGAGAAATGCCGAGACAAGACTGTAGCTGGCGGCGGCCGGCGACGAGAAATCGCGAGACGAAAGACTGTAGCCTGGCCGCGCGGCTGGCGGACCGAGAAAATCGCCGAGACGAAACCACCAAAGATGGCGGCACCGCCTCCCTCTCCTCCTCCCCCTCCTCCTCCTCCTCCTCCTCGTCTTCTTCCTTCGCTTTCCACACGGAGATTCTCGCCGACCCTCGCTACTTGGTCTACGTCGGCTCGCTGATGATGTACATCTTCGGCTACATGAACAACTTTACGCTGCTCGCGGTCAAGGCGAACGAGATCGAGAACGCGAGCGTGTCCGACGCGACCGTACTCGCAGTCCTGTCGGCGACGGAGACGATCCTGCGCTTGTTCTGGTCGATGCTGTGGGACATCGGCGTGTTTCGTCGGCCGACGCTGCGTCGGCTCGGCATGGCGGCGCTGACGGCGACCGGCGGCTTTTTAATGTTCTTCGTCGGCACGATCGAGACGTCGACGGGCGTCGTTGCGTGGTCGGCGATCTGCGGGGCCGTCATGGGTGGCTCCCTCACTCCTATCGTCATCAACCTCGTTGACATGCTCGGACCGGACAGGATGGGCGACGGTCTGGGATTCATGATGTTGGCAGAGTCGATTATTATGCTGCTAGGACCCTTACTCACCGGTACGCTCGACGTGTCGCCGAAAGATAAATTAATAGATATAAAAAATATCGAGAGCTAATAATACATTATGTACATGGGTATATGTGGTATATGTATATTGGTTATAATTGTATGTAGTGTATTATTAGCTCTTGAAAATATCTATAAAATAATCTATAAAATAGTAGATGTAATAGCTGATGGTAAACTAAATGATAAATGAACTAATATTGATATAAAATTGATGAAAAAAAATCTTTAAACAACTATAACTTAAACTTTCATCGTAAAAGAGGCGGCGATTTGCGAGATATCTGCTGCTTACGCGCATGTGTTTGTTCCGGGTTCACTCGTGACGTGGACAATCGCAAAGTTACATACGATAGCATCGTTAGATTATAAATGAATATATGTTATCAGCATATAATCTAATGGCAGCAAACAATAACAAGCTAGCGATCAAAGTCCAGCGTACATGCGCCCCTACAAAACCAGATAACGTGCATTGATTTCTCACGTGAGTATCGCCTACAATTTACAATCACGAGCTCGCCATCCCTGCCCCTCTCACATGTGACCCAATATACGAGGTCGTAATATACATGTCAGATATACATGTCAGATATACATGTCAGATATACATGTCAGATGTACAAGTCAGATATACATGTCAGATATACATGTCAGATATACATGTCAGATATACATTTCAGATATACATGTCAGAGTTGTAGCTTATCGCGCTCATAACGCGTTATATGTCATATAACGCGCAGTTATTATATATTTTATATATATACTATATATATATATTATATATATATGTGTTATATAACGCGAAGTTATATATATATATTATATATATATAGTATATGTCATATCACGCGCATTGATATATCTAATTCATATATATATGCAATTAACGCGCATTATGATATATATTATAAGTATAGTCATATAACGCGCATGTATATATAATAATGATAGTATATACTATGTCATATACACGCTCATTAATATATAGGCCCTAATAATATATAACTGCGCCTTATACGCGTCATAACGTCTAAATAGTCAATACGCGCATTATATATTATATATATATTATATATATATTATAGTATATGTCATATAACGCGCATTATATATATGTATATATGTCATATAAACGGCGCATAAGTATATATATTATAATGTTATATAACGCACATATATATATATATATATATATATGATATATATATATATATATACTGCCATATAACGCGCATATATTGTTCTTTAAACATCTCTGACGGATCACGTGTTTCAGGATATCTTCTCGACGCCACCGGCAACGTTAGCTCCTCCTACGTGGCGCTAGGATTCTCGCTGCTGGCGTCGGCTGGTCTCTGCACGACTGTCGAGTTCATCGATAGATGGCGCGGCGATGGCAGCAAGGCCGCGGCGGAGGTGAAGAGCGTTGAGGAGGACGAGAAGGAGATACTCAATGAGGGGGACGTCATCTATAAATCCACCGAGAATCTAGTGGGCTCTGTAACGAAGCTTAATTAGCGATGGCGGCGTATATGAATAAAGCCACGTATAGATCTCCGCGTATTACGAGCGGCTGTAGAAACAGAGACGTACGCGCGCGTGTGTGTTATATAGTTCTATACGTCTGGGAAATGAAAAAAAATGGCCGATCGCGAACAATTTTCGACCGATTTTATTTTACTCTATAACGGATCCAGGCCATAATTATTATATCTAAGATGGCAACGGCGATAGATATGATCAAGAGCTAATAATACTTTATTATTAACTCTTGATTTAACGGGTAGATCATTGCGTTCACCACAATGGTACAAGAAACTCGGCGATGGACTAGAAATTATAGAGATATGAATCATGTGATAACGTACTGCCGAGTGCAAATATAATTTGCATTTTGACGTGTTTGCAAAATCAGTCGTGATCTTTATGCACCTTGATCGTTGACCGTACGTCTCGTGCACAAAGTGCACATCGTATCAATAATACGTGCTACGAGATCATAATAGCTTCAGAGTATAGATATAGATATATTAAACGCAAACAAGGTACATGCGCACTTTTGATTGCTGCCACTACAGAATGTAAAAAAGAGACAGGGCTGCTAACAAAACTACTAGTAATGGTTTGAGCGCCGATCAACGCGAAACATTTTACAAAATTCGTAAAGGTTTCTAGCGATAGATGGCGCCCTGATACACTACTCCGTTAACGTGACCACGGAATATCAACAAACAAGCACGCGTAAATAATGGCGTGCGCGTATATTTTTTGTTTACTTGAAAGCTAAACGCGTCAGTATTTGTTGTTAACTGTTGGTACAAATTTTATGTAAACGTGTCTGTCGTGAGATTTATTATCGTGTGTAGGAGGGCTATGTTCACGCTTCATAGCGCACGTCGTTTGTCTGACGTGGAAATAATAAACAATTAAGCGTAAAGGGTCGTCTGCTGTACGGACCGTTAGTGGAAAATAAAGCCACATGGAATGCTTAAATTGCCGCCTGTGTTCCGAGTTACCTTTGCTTGAGTTTTTCTACGTATTCTATTTATACGCTTCTATTTATATATTTCTTTTTTGTGTTTGTATTGGCGCGCGCGCGCGCATGCGTGCGTGCGTGTGTGCGTGCGTGCGTGCGTGCGTGCGTACGTGCGTGCGTTTGTGTGTGCGCGTGCGCGTGTATCGATGTCAGTTGGAAATATAGAACACATAATACAACGAAAACGTCAAGCGAGCATTTAAATTTTTTTATAACAATGGAAGTGTATATATTGTTAGTTTGAGTATGAACGGATCGCCACAATGGTTCCTGCCCAGTATTGACTATGTAACAAACAAAACAATAGTTTAGCGCGCGTCTGTATATCAGTAGAGTGTATAAGGTGTGGGGATGTGGCGAAAACACCGGCGTAAACCATTTGATTATGGGAGCAGTTCATACCGATCTTCCTATGTTTGACGTTCTCACATGCTATTTCAAAGCCACTGTTATTAAAGTTTATAACAAAAAGGAAACTCGATAGCACCAAATACGCACAAAATTACAAGGTCGTAGCGCTATCAAAGGTAATACACGTGCGGATGTCTGATAACGCTACGACCCACGTGACGCGTCTGCTAACGGGAGACCGTACGCCATGTTTGATATCTAATTGCTACAGCTTTGCACACTTGACCGTACAATTGCATGCGAAACTGATAGATGTCACCGTGAACAAAGCAAGCACGTCCGATTTAACCCCGACGTGTCCAAAGCGGTGTAACCATCACACACATTGCAGACGTGCACTCGGCCATGTTTGGTAAGCTTGCACCGCCATCTTTGTGTACGATCGTACCCCCATCTTTGTGTACGCGTGTACCGCCATCTTTGCGTACGCTTGTACCGCCATCTTTGTGTACGCTTGTACCGCCATGTTTGCGTATGCTTGTACCGCGATCTTTGCGTACGCTTTTACCGCCATCTTTGTTTACGTTACTCGATATTGTTCTCGCGTTCGGAACTCCCCTTAGCAGAAAACGCGCACGGTAGTTGCGGAGAGGACATGCTCAGCATGGCGGCACTATTCACAACGGAGACAGGCTTTCTCTCTGTGCTTCCGTCAGGTCCGGATGCCAGAAGTCGATGAGAAGAAGTAGCCGATAGGTGTCGCCATCGTTCCACACTTCGTGCTCGAATGAGTCGTCGAAGATGAGAACTTTTCCTTCCTTCCAGACCCTGCAACGACGAGAAGCATGTGCAGGGCGGACGACGACGACGACGACAGCAACAACAGCAGTAGCAACAACAACAACAACAACAACAACAACAACAACAACAACAACAACAACCGCTCCATGACAAAAACAACAAGAAGAGTAAACGATCGATAACAAGTAATTTAGCGAGTGTATTTTTGTCTAAGTTCTGACTGACTCTGACATTTTGACGAAACAGTCATGGGTTTTTTTCCGAGCAACCGCCGACTAGCCTAGCGTTTCAGCTATGTCGGCTGACTTGCTGGTTGGAAGGCTGGCAGTTTATGGAAACTAACGGTTTCTGTGATGAGTAAAGGCAGCGATTGTTGTTGCTGGCATGCGATCCATATACCTCGTTTCCGGTCCGACCCGCATTCTGGCTCCCTTCGGCGTGACAAGACCGAGATGCGAGCGCAGCCTCGTATTGCTAGGCCCCGTATGCGGCCAGACGTGGGTTCCTGGCATCATGACCGACAGCGATACCTACATGTCGAAACGCGAATTAAATCGTTAATTGCGAACGCGTCGAATTAATGCGCGGCGGTAGGGAAATAACAGCGTGCTAGATGGAGAGAAGAAAATTAGCTCGGAAATCTAGGAATTAGGTCGTACAGTAGTAGCGCATTCCCCAAGCTCGCAACTCTCGTATATGCTGCTAAAGGTCTTCGTCTTCGTCTTCGTCTTCGTCTTCGTCTGCGTCGTTCGTTACGGCGGAGCATGTTCGCGCCGGCGCTCTCTCACCCAGTGGCGTTACAAGTGCGTGCGGAATTCATTCTATGAAGCACTAATAATAAATGGGCCTCATTGTAACTAATTACAGTTTAACTCTATTTAATTGTATCTTTTTATCATTAAAGGTTATAGCAATACAATGACTTGCCAATGACTTGGCGTAACATGGGGGGGGGGTACCTGCGGGGGGTGCGGAACGCACCGGGTGACACCATCAGAGGGGGTGATTTTAATTTTGCTAGTTGTTTATGTCACTACTATTGCCATTACATTCAGTAACATACGGGAATACGGATTTACGAGTAACATTAGTACAAAAAAACATTACTAAGGATTCCGTATTGTTGCACCAATACGCAGCTGCCACGGCTGTAAACCAATTAAGGCAAAAACTACCACAGTGACCCAAACACATGCACTGGCAGTAGCCACTGCAGTGGCATAGCTGTTACCATGTAACATAACTGACACCTACAGAATGCACATAGTAAAATTACTAACGATTTAAGGAGCATAAACCTCTTAAACCGCAAATTTAGCTTTGAAATTTCACTGTGACTATTGTAGCGCTCATCAGCATCCAGGCATGTATAGATTTACACTAGCAAACCCGGCAGATCAAATTCTTTCTAAGCAGACAGTCCAACAAAATAGATAGATAGATAGATTAATAGTTTAATTTGCAAAACAGTGTTAACAACGGTTACAATTAAAATAAAGTTTGCAAACAAGAACTATCCTCCAGGCAGTATAAAACTGAAATTGATAAGTATTTACATAATAAATGTCTCATGCTACTAGACATAGATTAGTACTAAAATGTTGTTCGTGAAATTTAATCCAAAACTAAAACGCATCATTAGAAATAATATTAATACTAAATTAAAAATAAACGTGATCGCTTAGTCAAGAAAAAATAGCTTACAATTAAAATGCGACACCAATGATAGAATCAAACCATATCACATAGACTGAAGAGTTGTCCAGAGAGTTATTTTACAAGAGAGCCAAAATGTGTTATCAAAGGGGCGCAAGCAAAGACTATTATCCATGGCTAGTTGTAACAAAATGCAGTGCTGTTTACAAATTTGTTTAATTACACTCTGCACAGTGTATCGGAAACAGGGGCTTGAAGTACGGCTGTACGAGGAGACTTTTGAAGCCGTGAGTTGTTACTTAGACATTGCCGTGTTATGGGCGGTTAGACACATTTATCTGGCTGACGGAGGGGCAAATATCCTGGTATATCGTTACAACTTTTGAGCTGATAGAGCCACTTTTTCACAAAAGCTGCTCGCAGACGAAAATGGCAAACAGCAAGTCTTGAGCTGAACGCTGAGATAAGTACCTCATCGGTACATGTCGTACGCTATTCCAATTATTATCACACCTTTATTATTATTCACCTGCCCTTACTTGGAACAGATTCAATTAGACGTGAGAGCTCTTTGGTAAGGCGTGCCCGGGTGCCAGACGGGTGCAGCATATCAGAATCGTCTGAACCGTAACCAAAGTAAATTTGAAGCGAGATCTTCACAGGCTAAGGCTAATGATTTTTTTAGTATACGCGAAGCACTGACATTTTTTTAGCTAGGCTCTTGCTACAAAATGAGAACGTGTATGGCCCATTTAAGGTCGTGCTGGAACCATACACCCGGATCTTTAAAGCTGTAGAATTTTCGGGCAATTGAAAGTGTTCTAGAAAAAGATCAGGGATCTTTGGAAATCTATTTCTACAAGTATGCCTGCATAAACTTTACATTTGTGGCAGTGGTTGAAGTCATTTTATTTGAAAAGGCGCCGCACTGGATAGATGCCGAGTACGGTTGTTTAGCATATGACGGAGCGTGGACGAGCCTTGTCTCGCAGTACGTGTCATATGAAAGTCGACGTATTTCACATTTCTGAACTATAGTCCTTCAGGCAGCATCGTTGCATCATAACGCAGAAAACAGTAGGGGCGGCCGAACTTTGTGCCGCTGGGGAACGCAACCACAATGTAATCTGGTACGTAAGTAGACCCTTGTACCCGGGACGCATTGTTGGCCTCATAGAGAGGAAAATCACTTATCATCGGTAGTAGTGACGGTCGTACTCCCTAACTTTATAGTTTTTTTTAAGAAGTGGATTGTGTGACCCTTACAGGTCAAATGCTTGGCTGAGTCATCACGACTATGAGAGCTTATGATGCTTGCGTTTTTCTGCTCCTCTGTACAGATATGTCCAATATGGCTGATGAGGTAATGCAACTGTTGAATGACCTTGGTAATGGAGCCAAAGCGTGGCGTAATCAATTTTTATGCTGGATGTCGTTCCAATGATCCACGTGTAGACAAAAGTTCTCTGGCTATTTTAGGCGAAAGTACAGGTTAGAGAAATTGGGCCTTAAGGGCTCATCAATGAGAGGAGGGTACACTTTTGGTATACGGGCATTACAGATCGGCCACTGTTTCCGACAAGCTTGAGGCATTACAGCCTCGCAGAAGAATGCGTGCATTATCATCCAGCCAGGGGTTGATACGCTAACTCAGCAGGCGAATAAACTCTCTCAATTAGACACGTGGCGGAAAGTTGGTAGGTCCTCGACAGAATTTATTAATGTCGCATGCCTTTAAGTAATGGACGGTAGACTTGGCCACTCCTGGCACTGTTGTGGTGGCGTGCCGAAGGAAACTTGAAGACTATTGAGTCGAGAGGAGGAACGAAAGTCCGTAACAGCAGAGAAGAATGCGTTTATCCGCTTTTCTGAGCTATTGGATGTATGTGTCACGTTGGGATCGATTCAGGTAACTTGCCGATAGTTAGCTTGTTGACATGGCTCAATGTTCGGCCATGTCTCGATTTCTGTATGCCCTCCGGCGGACTTGAGATTTTTTTTAGGGTGCTGAATTTTCTTTTTATTAATAATACTGTTTAGGACTTTGATGGATTCTTGTGTACTCTTGTTACGAATAGAAACGCCACGAGTTACTGCTTGTTAGGGAAAGCACGTTGTCTTTATTGATAAGGTTCCTCTATTTTGCAGAGTACGGGGCATTTTTTTGATGTGGGATGCTCGTGATCGATCTTGGTAGGAAGTTCAGATCGAATTTGTTTAGGCCAAGCTGTTTCGACGCCTGTTCAAATCCATTGTTTAAACCCTCGTGCTTGAGGGTGCAAAAGGTTATCTGACACTAATGTCAGCAGAAGTAAGATTTCATGGTCCTTTTAATAACTCTGAGGAAATAAAAAAATGAGCTAACGGTCACCGTGAAACAAAAAGTTTTTTCAATCGGCATTCCGTCAGAGCCAATTCGGTCAGTAAAATGTCTCAAATGCTGACCCTGTGCGCTGATTGAACGCGCTTTGACCCTGTGACCTCCAATTTCGGCACAGTGATGGCTTTTCCTACCATGATGCTATACACGCGACTATGGGCACGAGCCTAGGTCGAGCGTTTAGATTTGTGCCGGCAATTCTGGCATTTCTTCTATAACCCGTTAAGTTAACGGAACGTGATGTCGCCTTCTTTTACCACGCTGCGCCGCTCGACTGGGCACGGGTGGGGCCCGTTGCGCCCGGCACACGACGGCGACTACAGCCCCCGCCCAGGGGCGCTCGTCCGGATGAGATTACCGCACCGGTGCACCCGCACGAGTCACCGCGCGCCGTGTGACACCATGATACCGCACCGTGTGAACACCATGATTACGGGCACCGGGTGACACCATGATTACCCGCACCGGTGGTACACCACAGTCACCGACACCTCGTGGTGAACAATGATAACCGCACCGGTGACACCAGAGTCACGCGCAACCGTGTGACAGCCATATCACCGTACCGTGTGACACCAAGATTACCGCACCGTGTGACACCATGATCACCGTACCGGGTGTGACACCATGAGTTACCGGCACGTTGACACCAGAGTAACCGGCAACCATGTACAGCAACGCTTAGTAACGGCGCTGCTCACCTGTCCTCTGCTTGCAGGTAACGGCGTCTTTGATCTGCCGTCGAAGATTTTGGGCACGCTTCGCGTTCGTCTGCAGTTTTTTCTATCTAAGCTCCTGAAAGCAATCACAATGGCGAGTGTGTACGTTACGGAGAGAGAGAGAGGGGAAAGAGGGGAGATTAGAGGAGAGAGAGAGAGAGAAGAAGAGGAGGAAAGAGTGAAATGAGAAACGAAGGAAGAAGAGAGAAGAACGAGAGAGAAAGAAAGAGAAGATAGATAGATAAAGAGAGAGAAGAGAGTAACAGAAGAGAGAGAAGAGGAAGAGGAGAGTGAAAGAAGAAGAGAAGAGAGAGAAGAAGAAAAGAGAGAGAGAAAGAAAGAGAGAGAGAGAGAGAGAAAGAGAGAGAGAAAGAAAAGAGAGAGGAGAGGGGGGGAAGAAGAGAAAGAGAAAAGAAGAAGAAGAGAAATAAATAAGAGAGATAGAGAAGAAAAGAGAGAGCGAAAGAGAAGAAGAGAGAGAGAGAGAAGAGAGAGAGAGAGAGAGAGAGAGAAGAATAGAGAGACAGAAAGGCGAGGACGAGAGAGAGAGAGGAGAGAGAGAGAGAGAGTGAGAAAAAAAGAGAGAGAGAGAGAGAGAGAGAGAGAGAGAGAGAGAGAGGAAAAGAGAGAGAGAGAGAGATAGAAAGAGAGAAAGAGAGAGAGAGAAGATAGAGAGATAGATAGATAGATAGATAGACATAGATAGATAGATAGATAGATAGATAGATAGATAGATAGATAGATAGATAGATAGATAGATAGAATAGATAGATAGATAGATAGATAGATAGATAGATAGATAGATAGAATAGATAGATAGATAAAGAGAGAGAGAAAAATAGATAGATAGATAGATAGATAGATAGATAGATAGATAGATAAGATAGATAGATAGATAAGAGAGGAGAAAGATAGATAGATAGATAGATAGATAGATAGATAGATAGATAGATAGATAGATAGATAGATAGATAGATAGATAGATAATAGAAGATAGAAGATAGATAAATAGATAGAGAGAGAGGTGAAGATATATATATATATGTATATATATAGATAGATAGAGAGAGAGAGAGAGAGAGAGAGAGAGAGAGGAGAGAGAGAGAGAGAGAAAGACAGATAGATAGAGAAAGAGAGAGAGAGAGAGAGAGAGAGAGAGAGAGAGAGAGAGAAAGAGAGAGATAGATAGATAGATAGAGAGAGGGAGAGAGAGAGAAGAGAGAAGAGAGAGAGAGAGGGAGTAGAGAGAGAAACGAACGCCGCTGTACTCGGCGTGTAGTGTCAGTGGCTTGTTAGCGGCCGGCACTTATATTTAAACTGTGCTGCCGTTATCGATTGATTAACGCGGCCGCGCTAACCCTCACGCGTAAGCAAAGCGCATAAATCAATCAAGAGTTCGCGTATGTGAAGCGCACATTCCGACGGATTCGATTCGTCCGACCGTTCAGACGACAAGATCTATGTAAATAGCGAGCATCAGATTACAACAGCTTATACAATGTGTTGTTCATACACGCAGCGCTAGGCGAACGGTGCCGCAGTGTATATGATGTGCGGCACGCGTGGTATCATTCTGTGTATGACAGCGCTAATTTCAAATAATCCTTTATAGTGCTAAGGCGTCTCCCTGATCATGTATTCGCGTACGGCATCCCCATGTCACACGTGGCAATTCATGGTTATTGACCACATTATGTCGTCTTGGTCAGGCAACTATACCCATAATCTAGATAGCGTATATCAACGTACTCAGCATGAGCACCAGTTCGCATTGCCATTATATCACACACAACACAACACACACCACAACCCACACGCACAGCACCGCACACACAAGCAGCTGCGCACGCACGCACGACACACGCGACCACGACGCACGACACACACACCACCCACACACACAACACACACACACACACATCACACAACACACCACATGCACACACAGCCAGGCACACCCACACACACCACCACACACACACACACACAACACAACACACACACAAACAACACACACACACACACAGCACACACACACACCACACACACACACACACACACCTCAACCGCGCCGAGCGCACACAAACACACTCACACCACG